TGTTAATCATCCTTTCTTGCTGGCAATATTGCTTCCTTCTGTTTGCTCAAATGTAGATTATGAAGGACATTAGCTTCAAACTCAATGTTTAGGCATCTGAACTGCCGAAAAGATGGCAGAACAAATGCATGTTTATTTCAGTGCTCCTGCCCTCTTACCCACACATCCAAAAGTTGAACAAGAAAAGCTGCCTGTAATGAAACTAGTAAAAGCCACAACTCCATACCACAGACTCCAGGGCAATATCTGACAGATACAACCAAGTTGGGGATGAATCAAAGAAGCGTTCTTGCATTTGCCCAGCATTTCTCCCAGTCTCCAGTGGCCACAATTGCTGGGCAGTTAATGAGAGGATTCCCAAGAACTCTACTGATCATTTGTTAACTTGGCAAAACAGGACTGGCAACAGTTAGGAGAGGCTGACCACACTCTGTGTGGGCATGTTTCCACAAAAATGAGGAGCGGAGGTTGAGATCTCAGATGCACAATGTGTGTTCATCCCCTCCTGTATCCAAAAGAGGAAGAGCGGCGAGAAGCAGGACCAGAGGAGAGAAAATACCTCAGGAGCTGATTTCACAAATGTGTGCCATGTACAATCCAGGAGAGCAGAAGTATAAACCCACCATGTTCCTGCTAGGATAACTAGTGGGAATGGGGAAATGCAAAGTAGATCTCTCCCAATGGGACCCGGCCATCCCCAGGGCAGAGGATTCAACAAAGTCTATGGAAGGCACTCACAGACAACATGTTCCAAGGAGGCTTCGCATCACTCCTTATTCCCCCAAATCCAAATAGCAGAATGAATGAAAACCAAAAACACCCTCCACCACTATAACCCATCAAGAGCTAGCCTTAGAGTTCAAGTGCTAAGGTTATCATTCAAACATGTCTCGCTCAAAAAAGGAGGAGTCAAGGAAGATTTACCCACTCTTCTTGGACAGATAGAACTGGTACCATTCAAAGACATAATAAGCAGAAGGGGTCATCATGATACTTGTGCATCAAGATAAAAGCAAAATAATACAAGAAAAGGAATGAAAGACGCAAAGGATAGATAAACACATGCTGGAAAAAGAATGAGCCCATAAACATGAAAACTGTAGACAAAATTGTTCAGCCCTGGAAGAAATAAGGAATCAAAGACAACAACATAATGAACTAAGAAAAGAAAGAGATAAAAACGAAACTAGGCTGTGCATGGTGGCTCACGCCTATAATCCCAGCACTTTGGGAGACTGAGACTGGTGGATCACTTGAGGTCAGGAGTTCGAGACCAGCCTGGGCAACATGGTGAAACCCTGTCTCTACTAAAATGCAAAAATTGGCTAGGCGTGGTGGCATAAGCCTGTAATCCCAGCTACTCGGGAGGCTGAGGCAGGAAAATCACTTGAACCTGGGAGGCGGAGGTTGCAGTGAGCAGAGATCGCGCCACTGCACTCTAGCCTGGGTGACAGAGTGAGACACTGTCTCAAAATAAAATAAAAATAAAATAAAATAAAATAAAATAAAATAAAATAAAATAAAATAAAATAAACTGTAACAGAAGTGGAAGACACATTACAAGGAACAAGCCCTAGAATCAACAGTACAGAAAACTGAGTCAGTCACTGAAATGGAGGATAAGACTTGAGAAAAAATCATACAGTATGCAGATGAGATGAATGCCATCTAAGGAAAGATAAATGTGAAGGACAGATGATAGAGAGCCAATACAAAAGCAAAGTTTTGAAGAAGAGAACAGACTAAACTGATACAAAATGCAGTGAGGCCTGAAATGACAATATCTAATGCTCAGCGCATTCCAGAAAAAGGCAACAGACAACAGTCAATCCTGAGATATACTCCAATGAAGTTAATAAACTTCAAAGATAAACAAGGAATTCAAGTATCCAGGGCAAACAATCAGGTCATCTACAAAAGGGAATGAAAAAGCCATCAGGACTCAGACCTTTCAGTGCTACCAGATATGGACAACAATAAAGTAACAATAACATCATGTCTCCAGAGAATTGAAGGAAAAAGGATGTGATCCAAGAATCTGATAGCCAGCCAAGTTATTGTTCGTAAGTAACAGCAACAGGAATACATTTGTAAATATGCAACAAAACCCAACCGAAGCTGTAATCCAGTCTGCAAAAAGATAAAAGCATCAACTCTCAAATGTGGAGTCTTTGTATGAAAGGGCTGGCAGTGAGCACTGAATTCATTCAGACACAGAAATCTAAATAACTCTAGTAATTGCCTACAGCTATCCACTTCAAGTTGCCTATCTTTTTAGGTAAAAGCTGCCAAATCCATCTGATTATCTCCTCTAACTATGCCAAAGTGGAAACACACAAAAGAAAACCTCTCCTGAATGGAATTAACTTGCCCTATAGAAAATTTGGGGTTTAGAGCTTACCCTTTGAGAATTAGTATACTCAAGAAATTCCTCAAAAGAGATAATACAAATCACCTGGTGTATTGTTCAGAGCACTACCTAACTGCTTGCTTTGGTCCTTCCATTGACTTACCATGCCACCTTGGCAAACTATTTAACTGCTTTGGGATTCATATGAAAAATAGAGATATACCTGCATGGTCCACCTCACGGCATCCTAAGGATCAAATGGCATGCTGTATGCGAAAGGTCTTTGGAATCTATAAGCAAGGCTGTATAACCATGTCACACATTTTGGATGGAAAGAATTCTGTATTCAGGAGCCAAAATCTGATATTTAGAGACAAAAAAGGAAGAGATGGCTCCTGTGGATCTATCCTTGCACTTCTTTTTATTTTTCTACATTTTAAAGTCATCTCTTAGCACTATAAAGAAATTCAGCACTTCCACAGCTCCCGACGTAAATTTCCATAATTTTAATTTAGAGACAAGGATGGTTTAAGAACTTAGATGTTGCCCTACCATCCAAGAAAAATGTCTGACAGTTTTCTATCTTTGATTCACCTACTATTTATGATTATTATATTACTTATTAATATTAATGTTTATTAAGCACCTACTATGTGTCAGGCACTATTTTAAATAGACACAGTCCCCACTTAAAATAAATGAGAGAGCAATACAGAGGAATGGGAAATAATTTAGCTGAAAAAGGGTCCATGTCTATTTATGTTACAACCTATGTGGAGAAATCTGACCATTGGCTTACAGGCAAACCCAGTAAACAGCCAGATTCTCTGCCTAAATTCAGAGAATCATGTACAGTTGACAAAAAGGATCAATGAATACTTGGGTAAAGGGGCTAGTAAGCTAGGGGAACACAAGCTGTTCCTGAAACTCTTCTTGCAGTTGCTTTAGTATTAAAGATAAATTTTTAATGAACAAAACAAAGACAGGAGAAGCAAGATTGTACTGGGGATCAGATGGATGTGAGTAAGCCACACTGAAATCAATCTTTACTTTTGAAAAACACTTGTAAAGGGAAGAATGTGATGGGATTTTTCTACACCGTATTTTCCATATTGAGCCCCTTACATGGTGCTGCTTATCAAGATGTGGCAATCGACGGGTCTTCCTCAAACAAGAGAAATACTGTCAGAGTCAGGGAGTAGGCAGCACGCCCTAAACTGTTGCCTCCTCTTTCCTATATTGTATCACACTTGAAAGCATAAAGGAGTATGGTTCGAAACTGAAGCCTAGGAAGATAATATCTCATGTTTATAAGGAAGCTAGGGGCTGGGTGTGGCAGCTCACACCTGTAATCCTAGCACTATAGGAGGTAGGGTGGGAGGGTCACTTGAGATCAGGAGTTCGAAAACAGACTGGCCAACATGGTGAAACCCCATCTCTACAGAAAATACAAAAACTAGCTGGGCATGGTGGCAAGTACCTGTAATCCCAGCTATTTGGGTGGGTGAGGCACAAGAATCGCTTGAACCTGGCAGGCGGAGGAACAGAGTGAAACTGTGGCTCAAAACAAACAAACAAACAAAAACAACGAAGTTAGGGTCTTTGCATGGAAGGACTTTTTTTTTTTTTTTTTTTTTTACATTTTTTACACCACACAAAAATAATCATATGAAACAGTCCCATCACCAAAACACTGACTCAGTCCTCAGACCTATGGGGTTCCTATGGCCCACCTCTCACCAGTCTCTCGGAAGTACATCAGTATTTCTTTCACCTGACTGATTACATATACATTCTCTGATGAGATTATTCTAAGGATGGAAGAGATGAGCTCTTTCTAAAGATGAATGGAACTGTCCTGAGCTCAGGTAATACAATGAAATAAAAGAAAACCAGATCCAGTGGAACTAAGAGAAACAGGAATGCAATCAAGCCACATGCAGCTGGTCAAAGCACACCTCCTCTTGGGGAGAAATCCCCCACAGTGGTGGAAGTGGGGCTAATTGCATTGGTACTATCACATGACTAAAGCAGGATGAATGGTTTACAGGTCAAAACTTCTATATCAGTGGATATATCAACACAAATTGGACTGAAACATTTATACGGACATTAAAGTAGGGCAGAAGTCAAAGTAGATGATACATATGAAAAATCACCATAAAGAGAAGCACATCCTGTGGAGCTGTATATAGGATACTGGTTTCAATCTGGATTCTTAGATCACTTCTATTTCTAAGGGTAAATATAACATCATTCCTCTTTCCTTATCTCAAGTCATCTGCTAATTCCCACTTCCAACTTTTACCAAAAACGATTGTGAAAATCAGATTGAGCTGACAATTCTAATACTGGCTAAGATTAATGAAAATAAAAATTATCAAGACCTGAAGCATTTTTCAAAAATAAACTAGAGAGGCCTTTTCCCTCCAATAGTCTATCTTACAACTAGTAAAGTGCATCACACTGAAACTTCTAATTCCTTTGAAGACTACAAAGGAATAAAATATGACACAGGTACAGTATTAGATAGATGGAAGTTTGACAGAAGCATAAAAACTTCACTTCACACTCTTTACAAATTTGGTATTGACCAGGAGGCAGTTTTCCACTTAAGATCTTTGAAACCAAGCAGTTGGGTAAAAAATTCTAAGACAACATTTGGAATGCTTTAATCAACAGAAGCATACAAATGAATTTTAAAATAAAATCAAGGCATCAATGAGGAAGATCACCACACCTCACAATGAGAATCCAATAAGATGAAAGAAGGCAAAAGTCTAAATCACAGAGTGGCAGAGGGAGGCATGGGAGAACAAAAGGCCCTGGGACAAAATCATCAGGGCTTCTCCAGCTGATGTCTTCCACTTCCAGGGTCCCGGGGCCCTAGGTAGAGGTTTGGGACAAATATGGTATTTGGTCACAAGGAACAACAGTATGATCTGTTGTATCTGCAATGGGGAAGGCGCATAGAATCCTGGAGGGACTGAAGACATCAGACGCTACGATAGTAAGATGGAGAATACGAGGGCACAAGAGCTGTAAGGAGGCTCCGTGCTCTTTGGTGACAGGCGTCAATCACACGACAGCAAGATGCCATAAACAAGTTACAACTTTAGTGGAAGATCTGGAGTAGTTACAGGAAAAGCTCCATGAAAAAAGTCCAGGTGGTACAGAGAAGATACACACTCAAGCACTAGGAATAACTATGATGCCACGCTCAGCAGGTGGAAGAAAGCAGTTCTCTCTGGTTGACTTGCAGAAGACAATGTTTCTTCACAAAGAGGACCAGATCATTCAATCCTCTAGAAAGTTCTATTAGTTTTGATCTTGTCCCTACAAAGAAAACAATGAGAATATCCATAGTGAGTTTGTGAGTACAATCTCTTGTTTTGACCAGGATTTAGAGCATTTCATTATAGTAATAATTCAAAAACCCTTGCTGTATCTCAGAATTACAATTAATACAGAAATAGAATGACCATTTAATTACTTATGTATACTTTAAAACAGTTCTTAACTCTCGGTGAAAACTCTGGTTAGAAATAGGGAGTGACTGCTAAAAAGTATGATATTCCTTTTTGGGGTGATGAAAATACACTAAAGGTAGATAGTAGGAAGGGCTGTGCAACTCTGTGAATATGCTAAAAAACATGGAATTGTATACATGTATGTATGTATGTATGTATGTATGTACTGCTGAGACAAAGTCTCACTCTGTCACCAAGGCTGGAGTGCAGTGGCATGATCTTGGCTCACTGCCACCTCGGCCTCCTGGGTTCAAGCGATTTTCCTGCCTCAGCCTCCTTCGTAGCTGGGATTACAGGTGCCCGCCACCACCACTCAGCTAATTTTTGTATTTTCAATAGAGACGGGGTTTTGCCATGTTGTCCAGGCTGGTCTCAGACTTCTGACCTCAAGTGATCTACCTGCCTTGGCCTCCCAAAGTGCTGGGATTACAGGCATGAGCCACTGTGCCTGGCCGGAATTGTATATTTGTAAAGGGTAAATTCTATGTTGTGTGAATTAATCTCAATAAAACTGTTACTTAGAAACTGTTCTTAAAATAAATTTTCTTAGAATTTCTCATGTATAAATACCAAGTGAATTTACTATACTTACTAAATTCTCTATATTTTTTTTGTTTTTTTTTTATATATATACATATACTTACTATTTCCCCAGATCTCTACCGATTATTTGTATAGTATAACAATTTTAACTGTCAGGCTAAGTAAGCATTTAAAAATTTTAACTGTTTTCTGCTTAAATTTGTTCATCTAATAATATATTAGAAGACTAATACTTAATTAGCATACAACCTGAACTAGTTTTAAAATTGCCTTTAAAATAATATTCAATTAAAGCCACCTTTTTACAACCAAACCTTTTTCTAAAGATGGCTTCAGCACTACTCAAATTACTCAAATATCAAAGCAATAGTTTGAACAGTTTGAATCAACTGGTCACAATGATGCTCAACATTCTATTTGACTTACATACAGACTGAAAATGGAATCAACAGAAATTGATATGATCCAGGTATTTCAAGCTGACTTAGCTTAAACTTGGCTGGGAATGGTGAGCATATGTATGTTTGTGCACATAAACAAAACTTTTCTAAACTTCATCATTTGAGATGAGTAGCCAGTCCAACAATATTGTGTAGCAGTCCACCATGACACTTCCATAGGAAAAAATAAATATCCATATGAATATCATTTTTAACACCTGTCAGAGAAGACCAATGCTACTAAATGGTACAATATTGCAAAGCTAATAAACTGTATTTGCATACAAATATCTTTCTGTTGCATTATGTTAAAGATGTTAAAATTGAGAAATATATACAATTAAAATATATTGAGGAGAAACATTACAATGTTAAAATGGAATAAAATATCAATATGAACTTATGATTTAAAATATATTTTAAATATTTTATAGTTCTGTCTGTCCAGGAAAAGGGCCTAGAAAAGGTACAACAGGCATTCTCAATTCCCAGATTAGGGTCTCCAATACTGATTAAAAAGAAACAGAGCTGGGTAAGGTGGCTTATACCTATAATCCCAGCACTTTTGGAGGCTGAGGCAGGCAGATTACCTGAGGTCAGGACTTCGAGACTAGCCTGGCCAACATGGCGAAACCCTATCTCTACTAAAAATACAAAAAAAAAAAAAAAAAAAAAAAATAGCTGGGTGTGGTGGCTTCTGCCTGTAGTCCCAGCTACTTGGGAGGTTGAGACACTAGAATCACTTGAACCCAGGAGGTGGAGGCTGCAGTGAGCTGAGATCGTGCCACTGCACTCCAGCCTGGGTGACAGAGTGAGACTGCCTCACAAAGAAAAAGGAGAAGAAAAAAAGAAACAGGACTCCTTGGGGGAAACAGTTGATTCCAGGACACAGGCACAGAAGGTATAAGATGAATCTAAGATATCATCTCGGGCAAGAAAGTTTTCAAAGATTAATGAGTTTTTGGCAATAGAAGACAAAGGATCCAGCTGGAAATAGCTCTCATTGGCCAAAGGTATGTCAATTAAGCATCAAAAAGGAAAGTGACTATTACATGCAAAAACATGGATGAATCTCACACAAAGCCAGATAAAAGAAGGGTATAGACAATGTGTTCCTATTAAGTTCAAGAGAGCCTATGGTGATAGAGTTGGAAAAGTAATTATATGGTAAAGGAGGGAGGGAAAAGTGTTTGAATAGAAAGGAGTCTTCGGGGGTGGAGGAAATATATGTGTAAAAAGAGCTGTAAACTTAAGATGTATGCACTTTACTACTACTATGTGTTATACTTCAATAAAATAAGTGCTGATTAAAACATATCAAAGTAACACAATCTATAATAATACTAAAAAAGACAAAGCCATAAACTCATTTGTTACCATTTAAGGTGGCTTTTTAACATATTTCTTACCTGGAAAGTTGGTAACTTGAAGGAAATTTAATTGTCCCTTTAAATTTAAAAGCAAAGAGTTAAACACTTACCAGAGGAACTCTACTTCAAAATATCTAAATGGCCTTATTTGATAAGGAAGAGCTTTACTTTACAGGGGAATATCAGTAAATAATTGACAAAGGAATGATTTTTTTTTTTTTAAAAAAAAACAACATCCTTTTATAAACACAAATAAAATCATTGTGTTAATTTTAATACAGGCCAAAATGATCAATTGGGGTAAAAACCATTACGTGAACAGCTGATGGGTAAGTATACATTTGTGTAGTGCCAAAATAACACCACACATTATTTTCTAGTGAAGAGGGGAAAAATAACTATAACTCAAAGGGATCACATAGCCATCACCTAAACTATGCTCACATCACTAATGGTGGGTCAATGAGATGTCATGGGTCTCATAGTGTAATTCTGCAACAGTGCTTATGGATTTAGCAAAAAATGCTCCATTAGCTTTTTTTTTTTTTTTTTTTTAAGCTAGAGTCTCACTCTGTTGCTCAGGCTGGAGTGTAGTGGCACAATCTTGGCTCACTGCAACCTCCGCCTTCTGGCTTCAAGTGATTCTCATTCCTCAGCCAGCCGAGTAGCTGGGATTACAGGCATGTGCCACCATGCCTGGCTAATTTTTATATTTTTAGTAAAGACAGGGTTTCGCCATGTTGTCCAGGCTGGTCTCTAACTCCTGACCTCAAGTGATCTGTCCACCTCGGCCTCCCAAAATGCTGGGATTACAAGCATGAGCCACCATACCCAGCCTCCATTAGCTTTTAATCAACTTCCAATTCATAGGAAATACAGGGAATGGGGAACAAGCTAAATGACACTTCAAAGAAGAAAGTAAACAAATCAAGGCAGGGCACTTTTTCAGGACAATTGGCATGGTGTCTCAACAACAACAAAATGCAACCTAAGTATCCATGAACAGATGAATGGATAAAGAAAACGTAGTATACACACACACACACACACACACACACAATGGAGTACTATTCAGCCATAAAAGAGAATGAAATCCAGTCATTTGCAACAACATGGATAGAACTAGAAGTCATTATGCTAAGCAAAATAAACCAGACAGAGAAACATACACTCACATGTTCTCACTTATCTGTAGAATCTAAAATTCAAAACAATTGAAGTCATGGTCACAGAGAGTAGAAGGATGGTTACCAGAGGCTGGGAAGGGTTGTGGGAGGGCTGGGGGGAAGTAGGAATGGTTAATGGGTACAAAAAAATAGAAAGGGCTGGGCAGAGCGGCTCATGCCTGTAATCCCAGCACTTTGGGAGGCCGAGGTGGGCAGATCATGAGATCAGGAGTTAGAGACCGGCATGGCCAACATGGCGAAACCCCATCTCTACTAAAAATACGGAAAAAAAAATTAGCTGGGCATAGTGGCGGGAACCTGTAATCCTAGCTACTTGGGAAGCTGATGCAAGAGAACCACTTGAACCTGGGAGGCAGAGGTTGCAGTGAGCCAAGATCGCACCACTGCATTCCAGCCTGGGCATCAGAGCAAGACTCTGTCTCAAAAACACAAACAACAAAAAATAGAAAGAATGAAAAAGACCTACTATTTGATAGCACAATAGGGGGCTACAGTCAACAATAACTTAATTGCATATTTTAAAATAACTTAAAGAATAAAACTGGATTGGATTATTTGTAACTCAAAGGACAAATGCTTGAGGGGATGGCTACCCCATTCTCCGTGATGTGCTTATTTCACATTGCACGCCTGTATCACAACATCTCATGTACCCACAAAAAAATTTTTAAATTAAAAGACAACAACAACAACAACTTGAGACTACCCAGATGTGTTATATGGTCCTGGAATAGATCTCGGTTTAGACAAATCAGGTGAATTTTAATGAGATGAAAGATTATTGACATGGAAAGATGGGATGGTTAAATGAAACACAAGCAGGCTGGAAAACAGTATGAATAGTGTAATCTCATTTGCAAAAAAATACATATATACACAAATATATATATGTATATATATGGAAGAACATACACAAAGCTATAGCAGTGGCAATCTCTGGATTTTGGGAACACAGAGGTTTCTCCTTTTTTTTTTTTTTTTTTTTTTTTTGGCTTATTTATGTTTTCTTTTCTTTTTGTTTTGTTTTGTTTTGTTTCTTGAGATGGAGTCTAGCTCAATCACCCAGGCTAGAGTGCAATGTACTTTCTTGGCTCATGGCAACCTCCACCTCCCAGGTTCAAGCGATTCTCCTGCCTCGGCTTCCCAAGTAGCTGGGATTACAGGTGTGCGCCACCACACCCAGCTAACTTTTATATTTTTAGTAGAGACAGTTCCACCATACTGGCTAGGCTGGTCTCAAACTCCTGACCTCAGGTGATCCGCCTGCCTCAGCTTCCCAAAGTGCTGGGATTACAGGCATGAGCCACTGCACCTGGCCAATGTTTTCTTATTTTTTACAATGCACATATATTGCTTTTCTATTAATACATGATTTTTTTTTTTTTGAGACGGAGTTTCGCTCTTGTTACCCAGGCTGGAGTGCAATGGTGCAATCTCGGCTCACCGCAACCTCCGCCTCCTGGGTTCAGGCAATTCTCCTTCCTTAGCTTCCTGAGTAGCTGGGATTACAGGCACGCACCACCATGCCCAGCTAATTTTTTGCATTTTTAGTAGAGACAGGGTTTCACCATGTTGACCAGGATGGTCTCGATCTCTTGACCTCGTGATCCACCCGCCTCGGCCTCCCAAAGTGCTGGGATTACAGGCTTGAGCCACCGCGCCCGGCCAATACATGATTATTTTAAGTTAAAGCAGAACCCTTACTGTTGCTGGTAGAGTTGAAGCTTAAGGGTAGGTAGTCAGAAGAAAACTATAGATTGTTTTCCTTATTACCATAAAACAATAAAACTTGTTCTGTGAATTATAATTTTTTCTTTACAATGTTTAAATTTTTTATTATGCTAAGCTATACATAACAGAACTTACCATCTTTTTCTTTTTTGAGATGCAGTCTTGTTCTGTACCCCAGGGTGGTGTCCAGTGGTGTGAATCATAGCTCACTACAGCCTAGAAGTCCTAGGCTCAAGCAATCCTCCTGCTGAGGCCTGTATTCCCAGCACTTTGGGTGGTGTGTGTCTGTGGTCCTCCTGAGTAGCTAGGGCTACAGACACATACCACCACACCCAGCTAATTTTACCTTTTTAAATTTTTTGTAGAGACGGGGTCTCACTATGCTGCCTAGGCTGGTCTCAAACTCATGGCTTCAAGAGATCATCCCACTTCAGCCTCCCAAAGTGCTGGTATTACAGGCATCAGCCACCACACCCAGCTTAGAACTTACCATCTTAACCACTGTTACATGTACAGTTCAGCGGCAATGAGTACTTTCACACTGTTGTACAACCATCACTACCATCCATCTTCAGAATTTTTTTCATCTTTCCACCTGAAACTCTATACCCATGAAACAATGACTCCCCATTACCTCTTCCTCGATAGCCCCTGGCAATCTCCTTCAACTTTGTGCCTCTGCATTCAACTACTCTAGGTACCTCAAATAAGTGGAATCATAGTATTTAGACTTTTATGTCTGGCTTATTTCAATTAGCAAAATGACTTCAAGGTTCATCCATGCCATAGCACACATCAGAATGTCCTTCCTTTTTAAAGCCAAATAATATTCTATTGCATGGATAGATCACCTTTTATCTTGATCAGTCATTTTAACTTATTTTTTCAGTTTCAACCTACAATGTTTATGATGACAAACTGCAAACTTAATTGCTTTTTAAATAAAATTCATGGCAGGCCAAATCCCTGCTCGCTGCTGTGAATATCTCTACAGTGCAAGAATTCCTGGAACAGTAAGTGGAACACCTTCATTCAGACAAATCAGATACTTTGTAATAGAAATCAAGATGGTACATTACTGTTTTGCTTTGTATTTTGAAGCATCCCTGGGTTCACTGCTGGGATTGCTCCAATCGTCAGCTTCAGGAGTGGTCTTGTAATGGCGCCATGCAGACTTATTAAAAACTGGAAGTCTCTCAAATGACTCACTTGAAAGAGCCTACCAGAGAAACAAAAATATACACCAAAGGTCCACAGTGTCATTTTTCTCATGTGAAACAGTAACCCAGATTTTATTATTTAAAACATCAGATACCTTAATACATATTTTCAAAATGATATTAAAATTACATCTTAGTAATTTACTTAGACTGGCCAGGAAAACATTAAAGCTTTTTTTTTTTTTTTTTTTTTGGAGACGGAGTTTCATTCTTGTTACCCAGGCTGGAGTGCAATGGCGTGATCTCGGCTCACCGCAACCTCCGCCTCCCGGGTTCAGACAATTCTCCTGCCTCAACCTCCTGAGTAGCTGGGATTACAGGCACGCGCCACCATGCCCAGCTAATTTTTTTGTATTTTTTTTTAGTAGAGACGGGGTTTCACCATGTTGACCAGGATGGTCTCGATCTCTTGACCTCGTGATCCACCCGCCTCAGCCTCCCAAAGTGCTGGGATTACAGGCTTGAGCCACCGCGCCCGGCTACATTAAAGCTTTTTTAAAGGAATAAAAACATTTGCTCATTCAAAATCAAAACTGAAACACACATCACCAGAACAAAACACATTTTAATTCAGTTCATACTGCTTTGAGATGCTCAACTGTTCTGACTACACTTGGTGATTGGTCTCACAGAGGGTTCAGGAAGAAATAAAGTCTCATGCATCCCAGGTTTATAAACACACACCATCAAGTGATATCAAATATCACATTACTTAGATGCATGGGCATCTAAGATAAATACTCTCAATAACTGATTAAATTCTGGTATCGCATACACAGGTTGAGTATTCCTCTGAAATGCTTGGGAATAGGTGGGGGTATGGTGGCTCACACCTGTAATCCCAGCACTTTAGGAGGCAGAGTTGGGCAGATCATCTGAAGTCAGAAGTTCAAGACCAGCCTGGCCAACATGGTGAAACTCTGTCTCTACTAAAAAATACAAAAAATTAGCTGGGCGTGGTGGCGGGCACCTGTAATCCCAGCTATTTGGAAGTCTGAGGTATGGGTATGGCTTGAACCTGGAAGGTGGAGGTTACAGTGAGCCGAGATGGCACTACTGCAGCCTGGGCGACAGAGGGAGATGAGAGACTCCATCTCAAAAAAAAAAAAAAAAAAAAAAATGCTTGGGACCAGAGGTAGTTGTTATTTTTTTCACATTTTGGAATATTGGCATTGTGCTTACCTATTAAGCATCTCTAATCTGAAAATCTGGAATCTGGAGTGCTCCAATAAGCATTTCCTTTGAGCTTGATGTCTGAGCAAGCATCATGTCAGTGCTCAAAAAGTTCCAGATTTTCAAGCATTTTGGACTGCAGATTCTTGGGTTAGGAATGCTCGACCCGCAGTAGAATGCTATGCTACCATTTAAAAGAATGAGCCAGTTCTACATAAACTGATCTGGAAAGATCTCCAAGACAGACTGGAAAGTTAAAAAAAAAAATAGGAAGTTGCTGAAATTTCATTTATGTGGGAAAAATTCTGTTTTTCCCATATTTAGAAATGTAGAATCAACTCTAGGAGGATCCCTAAGACAATGAGACCTGTAGTGATCTCTGCTAAAGAGAACTGGTGGGAGAACAAACTTCAGTTTTCCTTCTGTAGCTTTAAAATTTTTATTATGTGTCTATATTACCTATTCAAAAAACGTTACAAATATTCAAGAGTTTAGAAATAAAAGTCCAATTACCACTAATGAATGAGAAAAACTGTGTTACAGAGAAGTTTGTTATTAGATGAACCTTTTATATAACCATATTATGATTACTGAATTCTTGTAACTTTGGGAAAGCAAGTGAGTTTTTAAAACAAAATACTAAAATACTTCAGTTTACTTTTAGATCAGACCTTTCGATAGACACGTAGTTCTTTTAAGTCACGATTTAAAATTATGATTTTAAAAATCAGTATTTTATTTTATTTTTTCTCTTTTGAGATGGAGTCTTGTTCCATCATCCAGGCTGGAGTGTAGTGGTGTCATCTCAGCTCACTGCAACCTCTGCCTCCTGGGTTCAAGTGATTCTCCTGCCTCAGCCTCCTGAGTAGCTGGGACTACAGGCACGTACCACACCAGCTAATTTTTTGTATTTTTTTGTAGACACGGGGTTTCACCATGTTGGCCAGACTGGTCTCGAACTCCAGACCTCAGGTGATCTGCCCGCCTTGGTCTCTGAGTGCTGGGATTACAGGCATGTGCTGCTGTGCCCAACCAAAGTCAGTATTTTAATTTCTATATCTCCACATTTCATATTGTGCTATACCTGAGCATAGACTCCAGGGTGAGTTATAACGTGGTTTTCATAAGAAACTGAAGTAAATCTGAGATGAATCTAAGAGAAGATATAGTGCTATTCTCAATCAGTGATTAGAACTTAATAGCTTTAAGAAGCAAAGATGCCTCATACTAACAAATAAAATGCAGTACCTTCAAATAAATGACAGCATCAGTACCCACTCCTTCCATGGAATACAGTTTCAGATCTCCTTGAAAATATCTAGCATATAGACGGGAAATTGGCAAACCATAACCAAATCCAGCCTATTGAGAAAAGAAAATTAATACAGTGAGACAAGCACAAATGCTAACACATTTTATATGATGACCATTTAGAGGTTAAAATAAATTCTTGATTCAGATTTAAATCAAAGAAATTACTGAGTCAACCTTTACAATAATGTATATCCTGTTCTATGGCAAACAACCTCTTTTATTTTCATCCTGCAAAAACACATCTTATATGTTTGGATAATAATAGAAATATTCTAATTTTTGACTAATGCTTTTTTAGCATTTTAAAGCCACGTTTTAGCATTTTTTAAAAGCACATTCCAAGGCTGGGCATGGTGGCTCATACCTGTAATCCCAGCACTTTGGGTGGCTGAGGCAGGTGGATCACTTAAGGTCAGGAATTTGTGACCAGCCTGGCCAACATGGCGAAACCCCATCTCTATTAAAAATACAAAAATTAGCCAGGTGTGGTGGTGCACGCTTGTAATCTCAGCTACTCGGGAGGCTATGGCAGGAGAATGGCTTGAACCTGGGAGGTGGAGGTTGCAGCGAGCTGAGATGGCACCACTGCACTCCTGGCCTGGACGACAGAGTGAGACTCCATCTCCCCCCGCCTCCAAAAAAAAAGCACATTCCAAATCAAGTGGAATGTGATCTGATGACTAAACCACATAGTTTCAAAGTTCCATGATCAGATTTCCTTGCTCTTGGAAGTGAAAATTAACAGCACAGTATTGAGTTCAAATCTAAAAGTAACAAGATGAAAACATGGAAAGGAAAACAATTTTCTGAGAAGCAACTTCTAAGGTTTGGGAAGGCGAGAATACTTTGGTATATTATAGTTCAGATATGTTTTTTTCTTTTCCTTTGAGGTGGAGTTTTGCTCTTGTTGCCCAGGCTGGAGTGCAATGGTGTGATCTTGGCTAACCACAACCTCTGCCTCCCAGGTTCAAGCAATTCTCCTGCCTCAGCCTCCTGAGTAGCTGGGATTACAGGCATGCGCCACCACGCCCGGCTAATTTTGTATTTTTAGTAGAGACAGGGTTTCTCCACATTGGTCAGGCTGGTCTCGAACTCCTGACCTCAGGTGATCTGCCAGCCTTGGCCTCCCAAAGTACTGGGATTACAGATGTCAGCCACTGCACCCGGCCTATAGTTCAGATATTTTTAGGGATTAAAAAAATTTTCAGTACTATCCTATATCTCTATGTCATGGGACTCTGATTGTCAATAACAGGTGTTCTAGGTGGGGGGAAAAATGGTCTCGAGTATGGACAAGAACAGTAAGAATTGAAAGTAAATGTAATACTGTTTGTGATGGTAGTGGGGCAGGGTGGGGAAGGAGATGCTGTAACACCAGGCTTCCTCACTTCTGGTTAAATCTATGAACAAAGTTAAGGAAGGAAAGCAGGGAAATCATGTGCAGAGTTGCATCAGCCTTAGGCTCAGAGAGACCCAAGTTGAAATCCACTTTCTGTGTCACTCTGAGCAGCTTACTCAACCTCTTTGAGACCATTTTTTTCAACTGAACATATAATACAAAGCTGACCTCAGAGCTGCTATAAGGATTAAATGATACAACAAGTATAAAATCTTGGCACAGTGCCTAACACAGTAAAAGTAAATAAATGGAAGTTGGTACTATGGATAGTAAGGGCAGCAATTTTATAAAGTTACATTGATTTCTGCCATTTTCTAACATCTCTCCTTGATACCTTCCCTCAGGGTAGGGTCTAACTGAAAGGGCAGGGAGTGAAAGAAGTTACCCCATCATTTAAGGGCTTTAGGACTAGCTGAATATGGCCAATAGTGAAGATGAGATAGCTATAGTAGTGACTCAGGTAACCACAGCAAAGAAACCAGCTCACTCTAGGAAGAGACGTGAGGAAATCTGCCTCCTGTGTTCAAGCAAGGCCCAAAGCCTGCCCTCATGTCCAGCACAGAACAGCTGACAACTCCAAGGCCAATGCAGTTGTGAGTGTAAGCCCAGACTCCCAAAATATGCAGAGGAGGGGTCTGGACCTCAACCCTGAATTTGCTGAGGCTCAGGAAAAGTTCCCGGAGTGTCAGAGGATCAACAGGAGTTCTCTGGATGGATATTCTCGAAAAAGAAATGCACGTTTCAAGGTACAGAGGTGTAAAAGCGTAAGATGCTCAATGAGAAAATTATGTTTTTTAGTAGTACATACTTATGTGCCCACTTTAAAGCTGAGAACAGTTTCTTTTTCTTTTCTTTTCTTTGAGACAGAATCTCACTCTGTCACCCAGGCTGGAATGCAGTGGTGTGATCTTGGCTTACTGCAACCTCTACCTCCTGGGTTCACGCTATTTTCGTGCCTCAGCCTTCTGAGCAGCTGGGACTACAGGCATGTGCCACTGCTCCCGACTAATTTTTTTGTGTGTATTTTTAGTAGAGATAGGGTTTCACCATGTTGGTCAGGCTGCTCTCAGACTCCTAATCTCAAGTGATCAGCCTGCCTTGGCCTCCCAAAGTGCTAGGATTACAGGCCAGTTTCTTAACTGGGAGAGCCAGTAGCAGAAGCATTTCTTCAAAAGGAGAGGCCACCTAGTACACTGGAAAGAACACAGACATGGCCAGTACCAGCTCTGCGGTTAATTAGCTCAGTGACCTTGGGGAAGGTCACTTCCTCATTTCCTCATCTATACAATGGGAGTATGCATTTGTAAGTTTTAAAGGTCTCTTACAAGTCCCCAGATTTATTAAGAAAAAAAACTATGACATAACAGCCATCCTCAAGATGCTATTTTAAGACCTGGAAGAGACAATCTATATTTCTTTTAAACAACTGGAGAAGGTGCTAGATTTGTTTGTAGTGCCTTTTTTCCTTTTGATGTGTATTTCAGTGTATACCAGAGCCTAGTCAAGGCAATGCCTCTCAAATGTGATCTTTCATGAATTTTCTTGACTCCTGTGTAAATGATTTCCTGTTCCCAACATGCTGAGTTAACAAACTCTGTCTCAAATAAATGATGCAAAGTCTTTGATTTTATTCTTACAAATAAAATATAATCTTATATGCTTATCAGTCAGGTAGGACTTTAAAATGAAACTTAATATATACCCTGAACCATTTTGCAGACTGATAGATATGTTGCTGTGTTTAATGACAAAGGGTTCAATTGTTGTTTGTCAATTAGAAATACTCAGCAGGGGAAGAAAGTGTGGCCCTACCAGGATCTAAATGCTACCATGGTAACCAGAGGCTTTTCTCACTGCCTTAATAGGGCTGAAGGTTATTTCCAGAGTGAGACAGAAAGGGTTCTGAAAATGCATACACCACCTGTATGTTTCATGCTAATGTTATTTAATACAAAAATTTAATGTTTTCATAATGTAACATTTTAATTATATAAACAAATTTGACAGTGGAGATTCCCAGGCACTATGTGATTCACGCCTCTGTGATGTGCATGCCAGAGTGCACAGGACCAAGCAGCAGCTATGCATTCAGTACTGTCCCTTTGCTCACCCACTGGTAACTTCTACCCCTTCCAAGGGTAGCACAAAGTGAAAAATGGTGCTCCAGTAGCAGTCTTACCACAATGAGGTACTTTTTCTCCGTGTCTAGGAGTGAGGCACTCAGCTTAGAATGTTTCTTGGACGCAAATCAGAGAGGAAATCAAAGTCCAAAGGAGTCACAAAGAAAGTAGCCAAGGCAAAACATTCTCACTCCTCCAAACCGTAATACAGGCAACATTCTAAGTCAACCACACTAACGCAACAACCTGGGGAGACAGGCAGCTCCCTCTGAGCCCCTTCCCGTGTTTATGATCTTTCCTTCAGCAGCAGTTTCAGATGCTTACCAATGGGGCAGCTCTGGTAGGCTCCAGGCTGGGTCTAGGAGCAGTCGAATACATGTAGTTAAAAAGACGATCTATTTTTCGAAGTGGAACACCACCACCTAGGTCACTGATCTGCAGTGCACAAAATGTTAACAGTCAAAACAAATAAGTCAATCTATACTTAATAGGAGGTAATGGGTTCATTAAATAAAGTACATCGCAGATTACTCTAAAATGTACAAGGGCTTTGAATCCCCTAGTGACATATGGTTCCTTTGTGAACAGTGTAAAACAAAGGAGGCTGAATGGTACTGTAGGATCTGACAGGCGTAGTGTTGAGGTCTTGCTGAACTCCCTGAATAACAAGGTTCTAATGAAGTTCAAATCAGGTACCTCGAGCCAAGGATCTAGCATAGAACTTACAAATAGGACACTCGATAAATGTCAATTTTCTTCCGCCTGAGTTTTCAGTGTCTAGATACTATTAAATCACAACTGATAATTAAAGTATACATGCACATAAGACAGTTACCTTAATGGATAAGTCTTCTTTACCCAAAGTAACGAGGGTTTTAACAGCAGGGTAGGCCTCTTTTTTATCTTGATAGAGTTCGACTGTTGCCCTCATTGAGTTCTAAAATGATACAATCTTTTTGTTAATCATACTGCTGAATCACAAACCACAATTTTTAAAGAGAAAGAAGTGCAAGACGACTTATACCCAACAATCCTTTTTTGGGGCAAATATTAGTTGGATTTATATGGCATTTTTCCCTCTAAAGAGCTTAGCTAAACATGTGTTCAAATCAAGGAAAAATTTCCTGACACTTTGTTTTTCACCTAGTTTTAGCCTCATCCAACATGCTAAATATTTATTTTTCTTTCCTTTTTTTTTTTTTTTTTTTTTTTGCTTTAGGGTATTTAAATTATTCAACTCAACCCAGAGGAATGTTTTTATCACATGTAATGAGGCTATACAGAGGCTGATTTGTGCACTTTAAATCCTATTTATCAGTCTGCATTTATAGAGCACCTTTTCTCTAAAGAAGGCAGAAAAACTGAAAAGATGCATGCTTCCCACAAAAATTAATCATTTGGCTGAAAAACATAGAAGAAATATCGGTTAAAAAGAAATTCTGAAAAAGCCACAGCTGCTGAAGAGAAAGTTCACAATTGAATGCCCATCTCAACCTTAAAGTGTTACATCAGTAACATTCTAATTTTTGGAAGCAAATCAGCATAACTGATTTTTCAGGTGTTCAATTTAGTGTTTCACACATTGGAAGAAATGAAATTTTAGCTCAAATACCTTGTGCCTGTAATACTCCTACTGTAAATGTCATTAGCTACTGGTTAACAAAAGTAACAGCTTAAGCTGCAGAGTCTAAAGAATTTGGGGTGGGGGTTGGTTCTTTTGGTCCAGCACATCTAAATCTTTCTCCTCTGCCTTTCTTAGATTTTCTGAATTGATGCAAATATATAAAAGGGTTGCAGGATCTCTCAGGACTGGAACAACTACTGATGTACCAGTGTGGTTAATATTCAGAAGCATAAATATGTATAAACATGTTTTTATTTTGATCTGGCTACCACCAATAAAGCCTTTGCCAGGTTTGGAAACAAAAAAGCATCTCTAATCTTGTAAGTAAAGAAAAAAAAGGTATGGATTTTTACATAAAATGACTAAAGTGCAATTAAGCTTCAAAATCAATATGTACTAATATTCATGAAAACTATACTGTACACAGCAATTTTTCATCTCACAGTGTACAAATTATAAAACCCACAGGATATCAGAAATAGAATTTTTTATAATGGTTATGCAAAACCTTTTTCTTATGCTAATCTAATGAATCCATTATGCCCTGAATCAAAGTAATTTAAAATGAAGACTTCTTTCCATGTTTTTAAAATTCCACTTACCTTGAACAACTCAAATAGCATATGAAACAGATGTGAGGGCACATAAACCACCTGAATAGGTTTGTCTGGTGCTTTGGCTGGAGACAGAGACAAAACCATCAATCAATAAGGACCCAAACTAGGAGAAACTCAAGAAGGATGTTTGCATTCTATTTTCCAAGTGTGTAAAACAGAGCTCAATAAAAGGCTAATTTGAGTTTCCACCTCTAAAGGCAGGGCTGAGCAAAAAGCACATGCTTTGGAATCAGACAAACCTGGGGTGAAACCCAGTTCCTTCACTTACCAGTTATGTGACCTTGGACAGAGCACTCAATCGCTTTGAAACTTTGTTGAGCAGAATTGGAATATTATCACCTGTGCCATAACAGTCTGAGTATTACAGAAGGCCAGCCAGATTATGACTTGGTGTTTTTCAAACGGGGATACCCTCTGCCACTGACCCCAGTGGTTAGCCAGGGGAATGTGCAGCAACAGGAAGAAAAGAGGGCTGGTGAACTGGACTAAACATCAGTGTTCAATTTTGTTAAATTATGACAAACAAGGCATCTTATAGCATAAAATGTCAGGTTCACATACCTTTTCCTCAAGCAGCTAGCAGATAAACCCCTAGAGACCTATGGTCTTTTCCCCTTGCACCATGGATCGTCTGAAGAAAATCTGAGAAACCCCCAAACCCATGTCAAGCACTAAGAACAGTGTGGGCTACAGAGTAGATGCTCAAAAACATAGTGCCCCCCTCCTCATGACCCCAATCACTTAAGACATCGAAACTACGTGAACTCTCTCAGGTAAAATGCTGTAATTTCAACCAGCTACTTCCTCTAATAAAGTAATTAACAATAATATAAATTAGAATTCACATTTGCTTGATTCTTAGAAGTTTACAAACAGCTTTCACATACATTATTCAATTGACTCCTCCTGACAATATTTCCTGGCTCCTAGCGGGGTGGTGTTGTTTAGAGGCATGGAAACAGGCTTTGGAAGGCCTGTGTGACTTGCCTGTGGCCCCAGAAATGGCACTGAAACCAGACACCTGAACCAAGAGCTTTTGATTCTAAATCCCGAACTCTTTGAAGAGCAATTATTTTTATTTTTATTTAATTTTTGAGACAGAGTCTCGATCTGTTGCCCAGGCTGGAGTGCAGTGGCATGATCTCAGCTCACCACGATCTCAGCTCACCACAACCTCAGCTTCCCAGGTTCAAGCAATTCTCCTGCCTCAGCCTCCAAGTAGCTGGGATTACAGATGTGCGACACCATGCCTGGCTAATTTTTGTATTTTTAGTAGAGACGGGTTTTTGCCATGTTGGCCAGGCTGGTCTTGAGCTCCTGACCTCAGGTGATTCACCCGTCTCAGCCTCCCAAAGTGCTGAGATTACAGGCATGAGCCACTGTGCCTAGCCGAGCAGTTATTTTTTAAATCACTTAGTAATATAGGTAAATGGCTTAAAAATTTAACAAAAGAAGAAAAACAAAAGTCCTTCTCCCTTTCCATCTTATCCTTCAGTCTGAACCCAGAGGTAGCCACTCTGCACTACTTCTGCTGTAGTTTTTGGCTTGGTAATATTTATTTTGTTCTGTAATCTGAATTAGGGATGCTGTACATTGCCTATAGGTTCTGCTAAGAAAGTAGAAAATCAATAGTTGGTGACATTATAACTATGTAAATATTGATCACTGTAGAACAGCCACAACAACGTACCTGAACATTTTCTTCCCTATTAATCCAATGACAACGATTCATGTGTCCCTTAGAGGAGAATGTTCCTAGTCTTAAGATGAAATGGAGTTTTTTTATACTCCTCCAACTGGTCAACATCATGTTTCCCTTTTTTGGGTTGCTTCATAATCAGTCGATACCACTTTGCTAAGATCCTTCAGCTTACTCGAAGCTTCCCTATCTACTGCATGGTATCCAGTCCATTCCTCAAAATTTTTCAAATTAGAATCAATTGCTTTGCGAACATGCTGCACAGCCATCATCCTAAAATTGTTTTTGATTGAAGTTCTAGAATGTTTTCCCCTATTTCTTAGGTGCATATTATAAATAACATCAAGTCAGTCAGGTAACCTATCTCAGAAAGGTATGCATGGGAGATACATCTGTCAATCTTTATAGCTCTGACCTATTTGATTAAAGGTTTGACTAGATAGAGAATTCTAGGATTGAAATGATTTTCTCTCAGAATTTCAAAAGGGGGGTTCCTGACAGTAGCAGTAGAGCTGATAAGTTTAATGCCAGTTAGGTTTTGTTCATGCCGCTGGCTTTTGCTCAAGGTCTGATATACCTCAATTGCAATATTCTTGTTTGAGAATGAAGAACTGGATTCATTATATGAGGCAGCTGGCATTCGTATCCCCCTGGGGCTCTCCCTTAAGAGGGAAGGCTGACTTAGAGCTCTCTGGACCTAGGTCAAGACTTTTCAACTGGGCTTTAGGATGAACAGGTAGTAAACTAGCCTCTGAGCAGAGAGGACCCCAAATGCTTAAATGATCAGGGTTTTGCTGTGGGGTAAGAACACTCACATGAACAGCCCTAGTTCTTCCCAGGTTGTTCTCCAACACAATACTTAGTTGGCTGTTGGCAGGAAGAACCAGGTCAGAGTCCAGCTGCTTCCCATCATCCCTCCACGCTCTTTCTTAGATCAGCTTTCAGTTAATCCCTACCCTTTGGCCTCCCTTCCCATTCCAGTCCATTGCACCACCTGACCCTGCCCCCAGAGTCCCTCTAGGACAATCTTGAGCAAACGGTTGCCATCTCTGCTGCAGCCTCCTCCTCTGTGGCTGCTTCTGCTTTGTCCCATCAATTAGCATACTTCCAACTGGTGACCCTCTTTCAAAAGTCTGGATTAATGGCTCTTAGGGATGGAATGTTTGTGTGTGTCTCCCCCAGATTCCTATGATGAAATGTAACCCTTGAGGTGATGGTATTAGGAGACGGGGCCTGTGAGAGATGAATAGGTTATGAGGGCAGAACCCTTATGGATGGGATTAATGCCTGTATAAAAAAACTCTGGAGAGCTCCCTCGCTCTTTCCCCCATGGAAGAAAACCATGACAAGCCGGCTATGAATCAGAAGGTGGGTCCTAACTAGACACCAAATCTGCAGGTACCATGATCTTGAATGTCTCAGCCTCCAGAACCATGAGAAATGGCTGCCGAAGCCACCCTGTCTCTGATACTTTTGTTATAGCAGCCTGAATGGATTAAGACACTGGTCCACAAACAAGCTCTCGTGGTTTCCTTTGCTGCTTTCCTTTGGATTCCTTTTTTGACATTTTATTTTTATTTTTAATTAAAAAAATTTTTTTTTAGACAGAGTCTTGTTCTGTCACCCAGGCTGGAGTGCAGTGGCATGATTTTAACTCACTGCAAGATTCACCTCCCAGGTTCAAGCAATTCTCATGCCTCAGTCTCCTGAGTAGCTGGGACTACAGAAACTCACCATCAAATCTGACTAATTTTTTTGTATTTTTAATAGAGATGGGGTTTCACCATGTTGGCCAGGCTGGTCTTGAACTCCTGACCTCAAGCAATCCAGCTGCCTTGGCCTCCCAAAGTGCTGGGACTGCAGGTTTGTGCCACTGCACAGCTGCCAGGCCCCTTTTTGTCATTTTAATGGGGCCCCAAAGAACAAGCTGGGTGTTCAGTTTATCTTGTACCAAATGGCATGATTAGATATGTAACCAGCCTTCTGAATTCAACTTTTTCATCCCAAATCTCAAGAAATAACAAACACCTTTTATGTAATGGGTTCCCCCCCGCCCCAAGTTTAAACAAAAAGCCTAAAGCCTTGCTCAATTAATTGCACTTTTCTTTGGGAACATTATAGTTTAGACCTCTTTCCTTCCTTTTAAAACCATGTCAAATGGTTTTGTCCATGACTCTTTCCTAGTTCTGGGTCTAGAGGCCAGCAGTTAAGTAGTAAATGCTTAATAGATGTTTGCTGCCTTACTAAAATAAGACATAGGTGGAGGGATCCAAGATGGCCGAATAGGGACAGCTCTGGAGTGCAGTCGCAGTGAGAACAATGCAGAAGGTGAGTGATCACCGCATTTCCAAACTGCGTTATTACTGCCCACAGAACAGGAGATTCAAGGGCTGAAAAGTGTCACGAGTTTCCAGCAGGGCTGTTTCAGCTGGCACAGTGGGTCTCTGCAGAAAAATTCAAACAAATCCAGGTGCCATTTCAACTGGTGCCTGTAACACCTTGGAGACAGAGCCACCCATTCAACTGAAAAAAAGGGGGCTGAAACAGGCAACCAGGTGATCTGGCTCAGTGGATCCCACCCCCACAAAGACCAGCAATCTGAATTCGCAGCAAGCTCAGCTGTACCTAGGATGGTCCAGTTCTGTTGGGGGAAGGGTGTCCACCATTACTGAGGCAGTCCACAACTACCGAGGCAACCCACCATTACTGAGGCAGTCCATCATTACCGAGGCAGTTCTAACTATACCTCTATAAACGAAACAGCAAGGAAGTTCACATAGCAGCTGGACAGAGCCCACGGCAGCTCAGCAACACCTCTGCTGGCAGACTGTGACTAGGCTACCTCCTTGCTGGGAAGGGCATCTCTGAAAAAACGGCAGCAGCATGCCAGGAACTTAAAAATAAAGCTCCACCTTCCCAGGACAGTGCACCTGGGAAAAAAGGTGGTTATGAGTTCCGCTGCAGCAGACTTAAATGTACCTGCCCAGCAGCTCTGAACGAAAAAACGGAGCTCACAGCTCAGCCCTTGAGCGCCTATAAGGGACAGACTGTCTTCTCAAGCAGCTCCCTGACCCCTGAATATCCAAAGAGACCCCTCATAAAGGAGAGCTCAGGCTCACATCTGGCGGGTATCCTTCTGGGACAACGATAACAGAAGAAGAAACTGGCAGCAACCCTTACTGTTCTGCAGCCACCCCAGGTGATCCCCAGATAAGTGGGGTCAGGAGTGGACTTCCAGCAGTCCTACAGCAGAGGGGCCTGTTAGAAGGAAAACTAAGAAACAGAAAGAAGTAACATTATCATCAACAAAAAGGACGTCCACTCAGAGACTCCATCCAAAAGTCGCCAACTACAAAGACCACA